CTGAGTCAAATATACAACCAATAGTGGAAAGAAGGATCCATGACTATGAAAGAATGTGTTGCGAAAAAAGTGCAAGTTAGAAGAGTCAAAGTATATGGATATGAACATTATTCTACATACCTACATCTAATACAGTGGAATCTCTATAAATGCACACCCTCTCTAATTACACGCTCAACTCTGGCCCAAATATATGCATGACCTCTATAAAAAGCACTTTTTCTTATTGTTCTCTAAATGCACATTATAGAGGTTCTATTGTATACTTTACTTACATATTAAGTACGGTCAACTCTCTTTATAATAATTATGAACGAACTAAAAATTTTAAAAATTAAATTATTTCTGTTATGTCTTCAAGTCACAAAAGAAAAATAGAAAACATTCAAAATACAGGACGGTTGATGAAACATATGGTGGAAGTTGAAGTTTTCGTTAAAAATTTTACGAATGCACTGTACATACTGAAATAAAAGAGATCATTGTGGCTGGTTAATGCGCCGTCAACCCGGCACACATTCAAGAATTGCACGTCTTTATTATTATTACTACGTATTTATCAAGCTATCACGTCTTAAACCCAGAAAAATAGCAATTTTAATTGACAATATGTGGCAGCGCCACCAATAAATCAATTAATTTTCTCCACAATCAATTATTCGACAATCCTGATTTAAAGATTCTATATCACCCTCATCAAATCCTGAATCCATTCTTTCCTTCTTTTTTTGTTCATACCATCGATGTTTACGTTCTTTGCTTTTTAAAATTGATAATTCTTTAGCAATTTCAGCTCGTTCTTTTTCAACTTCCTCTAAAGTTAATTCAACTTTTTCTAAACTATCAGGATCACCAGTTTTTAATCGTTTAAGCTCTTGTGTAACAGTATATTGTGTATCTTTAATTTGTAATTTACGTTCAAGCTCTGAGATGCGAGCGTTACGACTTTCACTATTTTGAGCAGCGTGAGCATTTCGTTTTTGTATAAGAGAAGCACGAGAAGTTTTTACACCAGGTTTTGGAGCATTTGGATTCAATTTTGATCTAGATTGACCTCTTTTATATGTATAACCTTCTAATAGAAGCTTTTCTTTAGCTTTTTCGAACAAGGTACCTTTGTTAGCAACCAAAGCTGGATCAAGGAGAGCCAATTCAACAGCAGCACGATTGATTGCTTGTTCATAAGTAGTTAATTTTCTAGGGTTATTCTTTCCGTAAATCGTTGCGTGATGTATAATGACATCTTTTGAAGTAGTTTGTGCTGAATTCGTGATCGATGATGGTATAGTAGTAGTAGATGAAATTGGATGGACATCTTGCATTGCATTAACAGAATATTCTTGAATCTCGTGCATTGGTGATCCAGTAGATTCTTCTGCACCTGTTCTATTTGGTGAGACTTTCATTGATGACGTTTCAATTACCACCGACGCTTTGTCTCTCACAGAGTAAGATGATATGTCAGTGGTTTCAGCTACTTTGCTTAATTTACGATTGTCAGATTGAATCTCCTGGATAATATATATATATATATTAAAAATATTTAATAAAAAAAATAAAAGTATTGAAATAAAAAAAAATGAAATTAATAATTACCATAGGAGTTGAAGAAAAAGAAGTTGAAAATGAATTAGTTGAATGATTTGTCATCGCAGAAGACGGACTTGCGGATAGGGTTTGCCTGAGTTCTCTGATCCCCTTTTTGAAAGCAGCTGAATGAAAAGGTTTCATTGAAATTGCAGATAATACTTCTTTTAGTTCAGATTCGTCAAATCCTATAAATTGCTCAATATCATTTTCACCGACACCAGCTTCAACAAATTGATTATGATATTGATAGAGATTTAACTTGTGAAGAAAAGCAGTTAAAGTAGGATAACGATGAATAGAATTAGAAGTTGGAGTCAAAGGAGGAAAAGTATTTGTGATATAGTAGCCTGAAGGTGGATGAGAACTGGGTGGACTGTCCTCAGGAAGAGTTTCTTCCTGTGTAGAGGCAGGAGTAGGTTCCATCGTGGTAGTCTGAATTTAAAAAAAGTAGAATAAGGTTCGTCATATTTTCATTTAAACGAAATATAAGATTGACAAGAGTTAAAAAGTTTAAAACAGACTTAACAAATTGTACAAATTGTCAAGAGAAAATAATAGTCAACCAAACAGCTCTGACGGTCTTTGTCGATTTTTTTGTTGAAAGTCAAAGTTTAGCACGTAGGTTTGTCAGTTGTCATCCTGTTATAAATATACACTGTATAACTATTTGACAGAATATTCTGGTAGAATTATAGATGTAACACAACTTGTTTTACCACATAATACACACTGGTGGCATTATGGCGTCATAGCAGTTATATGTAGCATTTAATTGAAAATTTCTAAATCTTATGATAACATGCAATGAATTTTTACATTGATATTTATGTGAAGTTTTTAAACAAATACGTACAACATGCGAAAATTTTAATTATTTCAATTATAAGATAATATATATTCCGTAATACAGTAATATCGTAAAATGACGACATCCCGAAATAATACGCATATCACGGAAATTTCACCAACAAACTTGAAATTGACCGTGTCATTTCGGGAATTATATTATAATAGCAAATTTATTCATTATTTTAATGGATTTGCCTGATGAATTTTATTTTCAAAATGGAAATGACGATATTTACAAAAAAAAAATTTTTTTTTTTGCAAATAATCGAATACTTGATTAGTTTAGAATGTTGGTCAACTATTATGTAGATTGAAAATCGATCACCGATCAATGAGTATTCGTAAAAAAACATTTCGGAAAACAAAAATTTAGAACTACCATTTTTTTTAAAACTTTAAACGAAAATATCTCGAACAACCTAATTAAACGCGATGAAAATATTTTATTTTAATTCAATGGATATTTAGAATTAAAATAAAAAAAAATTATTGAGTTTGGTCCGGTGGTTATCAAGATATCATCGTTCAAAGTTTTAAAAAATTCTATTGACTTTTAATGTGGCGCTTTAAATTTTTTTTTATAACTTCAAACGATAATATCTTAACCAACTCGATAAAGATTATTTTATTTTAATTCTATGTATCGTGGAATGTCGAGTTCCAATCCGGATAGATCCGTCATCCGTTTATCCGTATCTAATCATCCGGATAATTAGGATCGCTCAGATATCCGGATAATCCGATAGTATACGGATAATTATCCGGATATCGATAGTAAATGGATATCCGAATAAATTCAGATCCGGATATCCGGGTAAATGCGGTAGTTTTTTAAAAATTAGAACACTTGTTAAAAGTTGAATGGTGTTCTCAATAACCACTTAACTAGGCAAAAAATTTATCTAATTCGTAGTATACCAGTAATAGCCGTCCAAATACGCGTGGCTCTCGATATAATATATAGTTATTGGATGCGAAGCAGCCAATAACGGAAATTTGAGCTGACCAGTGTTGGCATTTGGACGTTTTAACTATCGTATGTCCAATT